CATTGGCTGAGATATTAATATGTTTAGACATACAAAACAATCGCTTAAAACCATCCTCACAGCTAGCCATTCATTGTACCTGGTGTCCTCATTGCAGGATCAATCGTCCTTGACACTGCACAACCTCCGGCCGACTGAGGAGCAAAGTTTGGAGTTCTCTATTGTTTTCGAGACAACAAAGATGAACACGGGTCTACAAAATGGTAGTTGCTTGAAAGCTGGCACCAAGCAGTAAATGGTTAGCCCTTTAAAGATGATTCAGTGAGGACATACAACAAAGAACTTTCGAGCTTCTTACAAAGCTGTCCACCAATGTTAACCCCGAGTCAGATGTACATAGATTTTCATATCACTGTTGCAAATACGTTGTTTACGCTATATTTTCTGGTCACTGATGTATGTACGTTGTTTACGCTATATTTTCTTATCACTGATGTATGAACGTTGTTTACGCTATATTTTCTTATCACTGATGTATGTACGTTGTTTACGCTATATTTTCTGGTCACTGATGTATGTACGTTGTTTACGCTATATTTTCTGATCACTGATGTATGTACGTTGTTTACGCTATATGAGTTTTTTTTTTTCGATAATCTCTTAAAGAGAACTAAGGTAATCTTCCGAAGAACTCATTACTTCACCACCGTGTACATCGGGTACAGTATACATCCTTTACTGTAATAGTGACGTGTCACAAGGTACAGTATACATCCTTTACTGTAATAGTGACGTGTCACAAGGTACAGTATACATCCTTTACTGTAATAGTGACGTGTCACCAGGTACAGTATACATCCTCTACTGTAATAGCAACGTGTCACCATGTACATCAGGTACAGTATACATCCTTTACTGTAATAGTGACGTGTCACCATGTACATCAGATACAGTATACATCTTTACTGTAATAGTGACGTGTCACCAGGTACAGTATACATCCTTTACTGTAGTAATGACGTGTCACCAGGTACAGTATACATCCTTTACTGTAATAATGACGTGTCACCAGGTACAGTATACATCATTTAATGTAATAGTGACGTGTCACCAGGTACATCAGGTACAGTATACTCCTTTACTGTAATAATGACATGTCACCATGTACATCGGGTACAGTATAATCATTTACTGTAATAGTGACGTGTCACCAGGTACATCAGGTACACTATACATCATTTACTGTAATAGTAATATGTCACTACGTACAGCTCATCCTTTACTGTAATAATGATGTGTTACCATGTACATCAGGAACATTATAAATCCTTTACTGTAATAGTGACGTGTCACCATGTACATCAGGTACAGTATACATCATTTACTGTAATAGCGACGTATCACCATGTACATCAGGTACAGTATACTCCTTTACTGTAATAGCGACGTATCACCATGTACATCAGGTACAGTATAATCCTTTACTGTAATAGTGACGTGTCACCATGTACATCAGGTACAGTATACATCCTCAACTGTAATAGTGACGTGTCACCAGGTACATCAGGTACAGTATACTCCTTTACTGTAATAGTGACGTGTCACCATGTACATCGGGTACAGTATACTCCTTTACTGTAATAGTGACGTGTCACCATGTACATCGGGTACAGTATAAATCCTTTACTGTAATAGTGACGTGTCACCATGTACATCAGGTACAGTATACATCCTTTACTGTAATAGTGACGTGTCACCAGGTACATCAGATACAATATACATCTTTACTGTAATAGTGACGTGTCACCAGGTACAGTATACATCCTTTACTGTAGTAATGACGTGTCACCAGGTACAGTATACATCCTTTACTGTAATAATGACATGTCACCAGGTACAGTATACATCATTTAATGTAATAGTGACGTGTCACCAGGTACATCAGGTACAGTATACTCCTTTACTGTAATAATGACATGTCACCATGTACATCGGGTACAGTATAATCATTTACTGTAATAGTGACGTGTCACCAGGTACATCAGGTACACTATACATCATTTACTGTAATAGTAATATGTCACTACGTACAGCTCATCCTTTACTGTAATAATGATGTGTTACCATGTACATCAGGAACATTATAAATCCTTTACTGTAATAGTGACGTGTCACCATGTACATCAGGTACAGTATACATCATTTACTGTAATAGCGACGTATCACCATGTACATCAGGTACAGTATACTCCTTTACTGTAATAGCGACGTATCACCATGTACATCAGGTACAGTATAATCCTTTACTGTAATAGTGACGTGTCACCATGTACATCAGGTACAGTATACATCCTCAACTGTAATAGTGACGTGTCACTAGGTACATCAGGTACAGTATAATCCTTTACTGTAATAGTGACGTGTCACCATGTACATCGGGTACAGTATACTCCTTTACTGTAATAGTGACGTGTCACCATGTACATCGGGTACAGTATAAATCCTTTACTGTAATAGTGACGTGTCACCAGGTACATCAGGTGCGGTATACATCCTTTACTGTAATAGTGACGTGTCACCATGTACATCAGATACAGTATACATCCTTTACTGTAATAGTGACGTGTCACCATGTACATCAGATACAGTATACATCTTTACTGTAATAGTGACGTGTCACCATGTATATCAGGTACAGTATACATCCTTAACTGTAATAGTGAGGTGTCACCATGTATATCAGGTACAGTATAAATCCTTTACTGTAATAGTGACGTGTCACCATGTACATCAGGTACAGTATACATCCTTAACTGTAATAATGACGTGTCACCATGTATATCAGGTACAGTATACATCTTTACTGTAATAGTGACGTGTCACCATGTATATCAGGTACAGTATAAATCCTTTACTGTAATAGCGACGTGTCACCATGTATATCAGGCACAGTATAAATCCTTTACTGTAATAGTGACGTGTCACCATGTACATCGGGTACAGTATACATCCTTAACTGTAATAGTGACGTGTCACCATGTATATCAGGTACAGTATACATCTTTACTGTAATAGTGACGTGTCACCAGGTACAGTATAATCCTTTACAGTAATAGTGACGTGTCACCATGTACATCAGGTACAGTATACATCTTTACTGTAATAGTGACGTGTCACCATGTATATCCGTTCCGGGAATCGGGTCGGCTAGGTGAAAGGCGAGTGCGTTAACACTGCGCCACCCGACCACCCAGGTACAGTATACATCCTTAACTGTAATAGTGACGTGTCACCATGTACATCAGGTACAGTATACATCCTTAACTGTAATAGTGACGTGTCACCATGTACATCAGGTACAGTATACATCCTTAACTGTAATAGTGACGTGTCACCATGTACATCAGGAACAGTATAATGCTTTACTGTAATAATGGCTTGAATCAGGATAACACAATCACTGTGTATACCACAGATCCGAAAATCTAGTATCGATACGTATTGATCTCAAATATATGTATCAGTTTCAAAAGGATCAAGATTTTATTTTTCATCGAACTTTATAATATATCAACGACTATACAAGTATTATTACAATAAGCAAAGCTATAAAATACTTGGTCAGTGGTGAATATTCAATAGTGTGTACAGTTGTGATTAACATTGGGAAACTTGAATAACTATAAACATGACAATTTAGATCTGCTGACAGAAACATTGAAACGATCCATATAAATCGGGGTAATATTTCAAAAAATAATTTGATCAGTTGAATTAAGTATATGGTGGTATGCTGGTCGTAAAAATATCGCTTGATCTTAACCAAATGATAGATTGAATCAATAATTAAACATATTTCCGTCAAGCGAATGTTTGAATCCGACAACGCCACGTCCAGGATGTTTTGAAAAGACAAACAGTTTAAAAGCGCTACTCATGAAATATAATGCGCCTATTTAACTGATATTTTAACAACAAACGTTGAGATAACTTTGAAAATGTGTTAAGAATGCCTGAATATTTATAATGTTGTGGCGAAGGCGAAATCAAACATTTAACGTGAATCCAGCATCATCAGCATTTGGTAGGTACGACATATAGGTGTGGGTCGTGGAATTAGTAAGGGACACATGTTTACTTTGAGTCTAATTCCACCCCCTCGTTTCATCGTTTTCGTTTACATCGTATTCATCGTTTACTTTGAGTCTAATTCCACCCCCTCGTTTCATTATTCATCGTTTACTTTGAGTTTAATTCCACCCCCTCGTTTCATTGTTTTCGTTTACATCGTATTCATCGTTTACTTTGAGTCTAATTCCACCCCCTCGTTTCATTGTTTTCGTTTACATCGTATTCATCGTTTACTTTGAGTTTAATTCCACCCCCTCGTTTCATTGTTTTCGTTTACATCGTATTCATCGTTTACTTTGAGTCTAATTCCACCCCCTCGTTTCATTGTTTTCGTTTACATCATATTCATCGTTTACTTTGAGTTTAATTCCACTCCCTCGTTTCATCGTTTTCGTTTACATCGTATTCATCGTTTACTTTGAGTCTAATTCCACCCCCTCGTTTCATCGTTTTCGTTTCTATTGTCTAATGGGAACAGCCAGCCTTGTTCATTATCGATAACAGAATATCGATAACAGATTCGAAAATCAGAGTTGCCTATGTGAACCAATCCATCATTTTTATAATTGTTTTAAAACAACAAATATCTTTAAGCGATTGGTTACCTTATGTTCAAAACGACTGACTAAGCGTTGTTATGTGACATCTCAATGATTGCCACAATGAAGTCGCTTATTTAGAGATTCAAACAATGTATTCTCAGTTGCGACCCTCATGTAGAAACTAGACCTTATTACAATTGTAGATATTCCTTCCTAAAACATTCGAGTTCCAAACTGGAAGTCTGAACTCGGTCGGTAAACTACACGATGAGTGTTGTCTTGTAAAAATTGAGATTGATCGTGTTATAGAAATATCGATATATAATTGTACCTACTGCTCTAGTTTCTACATAAAACTTGTACATGAAATAAGGTGCTTGTACTTACAATTTCTCTACGTTTTTCATCTGCTCTGTCGATGACATGAGTGGAATGGCGTTGATTGTGTTTACCATGTTACATTTCATAATAATTTTGATATTATCGTCCTCCACATATCGACATTGGCAGAATTCGGCACAATCTGGTAAAGCCAATCCAACAATAAGGAACAAGCTCAAAAGTATCACATTTCTTACACATCCTACACCCATCACTACTTCGTAAAGCACTGTTATCATCGTGGTAGTATGTCTTAATGAAAATACTTCACGTTATTTACAAATGAGGTGATCCTCAAACAGCGGTTCCGGAGAAAACAACATTAATACATATATATATTCCGGACAATTTGTTTAACTTTATCAAAGGCAGATCAAATGTATCCATGCCAAAAATAAACTTCAATAAACTATCAGTTTCAACGATGACATTGGAAGTAGTTGAAATAAAGGGAATGTTGATATGTATCTTCTCCACAACTAAGTGTGGGTTGCTGTAGTTTCTTCCGAATACAGAAGTACACAATCGCAGTACACATGGAATGTTTATGAAGTAATTCGCTAACCGAAAGTTCATGTATATATATATAAATCCTATGGTAAACACAAATAGTTTTCGTTAAAATCTGATTACGTCCAAGTAAACATTTGTTCTGGTCATTGGTTTGGCCGCAGAAACTCCCAGTAAAGTGGACTACAAATCCAACGGTCCAGTAAATACGTTACAATATCGAAGCGAATTTCAGAGAAGTATGTATGCAACTGATTGAACTATAAATATAGTTGACAGAATATCCGAACACACTTGTAAATAAATCACAAATATATCGTTGGTGAAGCAGCGTATATATACACACTGATGATCACAGACATCTTTATATAAAGAATTTATCGAGTTTCACGTTTAACTTCCAGGACACATACTTTCTTAAAGATTCCTGATATCCATGTATTACACCACACACAACCAACAGTAGACCGTTCTAATTGAAACCTGTCTACCACCCTCTGATAATTATCAGGCGGTAGTTCAGTCATACTTAACATCTGGGGTCACTCATTACCGGAAATAGCCTCCGGGTCATCGTCATTTTAAAACCAGCTCCGGACGTTTCTGTTCTGTCCATTTACACTGCACCCTTGTGACAATCGGATTCAGGTTTCAATCAATATTGGAGAGCGCCATCTGCTGGCATGGAGAATCATCCACCGAATTGGACATTTTTATTTCCAGGATGAATGAGAGCACGTATAGGAAGGTTACCTTATCACTATAGTCAGACCTCGATGTTCATTGATTGCTAACATCTATCTAAATAATGTCGTTCCAGTTTTCATCATATAACTTACAGTTTATACTGTTAATACACATTTGGGATTTGCCTAGATATAAAGATATATATAGATATTCTGCGATAAACTGGACGATGTAGGGAACCAAACGTCCGCATTAAGGAAGTCTGACTTCACCCAAATGCTGAATAAAACGTTTTGTTGTTACCATGTTTTAACTTATCTGTATCTATTTTTGAAGTTGGAACCTACTTAGACAAAAAGACAAATAAAGCGCCAATCGTAAGCTGCGTAATCTCACCACATAAAAATAGGATTCTTATCGATCGCCTAACATCACTGAACACAATCTTGCTCTCTGTCATTTTTCGTCAAAAATGTATGTATGTTTAGTAGCGTTACTGGTAAATCAATATTGTGTCGGCAGGCTGAACTACACTGTCCCGCCTTCTCCCACCCACCTGTCACAGCAGTTAGCACGCAGTTTTTCACAAATCGAGTTGTTGTGAAAATTGTTGCTCACGATACCGTAATAGTTCCGTAATGTTTGTGATACAGATGCATGGAGATTGCAGAGAAATAAACAAACAAACATATAAATAATGTTGACGCACCCGTGTCTGGAGGTTGTACAAACAATCTGTTCTGTGTCAGTGTGATGCGTTTTAAGTGTATGCGCCAACAGGAACGATAGTCAGCCAAACCCGGAACAGCAACTAGGATGGAGTCGACACGTGTTCGCACGGGTACTTTGAAGCTAGCTGATTTTGTGTTGTTGTACTGATCTAATTATAAAATAAAAGATTGAGTTTATATACAAACTTGAATTTTGCTCGGAAATGAAAATATTTTCCTTATAAAAGTTAACATAAGTTTGAGAAAATGAACTGTAATTGCTACTGTGGTTGGTTTTAGGTTTACTAAATTCAAAATTATCCTACCCTTCAAATCATAGCGATAATTTAAATTGTATCAATGTTATATCGCTAAATTAGTTTTTGGGGTAATATTAAAAGTGTCCGATCGTTTTGATATTAGGAGAAAATTACTTCGTGTTAACGGAGCCGAGTCGTCCAACCAAACGTTTCGGTAGTAGGAGAAAAGTACTTCGTGTTAACAGAGCCGAGTCGTCCAACCAAACGTTTTGGTACTAGGAGAAAAGTACTTCGTGTTAACGGAGCCGAGTCGTCCAACCAAACGTTTTGGTACTAGGAGAAAAGTACTTCGTGTTAACGGAGCCGAGTCGTCCAACCAAACGATTTGGTACTAGGAGAAAAGTACTTCGTGTTAACGGAGCCGAGTCGTCCAACCAAACGTTTTGGTATTAGGAGAAAAGTACTTCGTGTTAACGGAGCCGAGTCGTCCAACCAAACGTTTCGGTAGTAGGAGAAAAGTACTTCGTGTTAACGGAGCCGAGTCGTCCAACCAAACGTTTTGGTACTAGGAGAAAAGTACTTCGTGTTAACGGAGCCGAGTCGTCCAACCAAACGTTTTGGTACTAGGAGAAAAGTACTTCGTGTGAACGGAGCCGAGTCGTCCAACCAAACGATTTGGTACTAGGAGAAAAGTACTTCGTGTTAACGGAGCCGAGTCGTCCAACCAAACGATTTGGTACTAGGAGAAAAGTACTTCGTGTGAACGGAGCCGAGTCGTCCAACCAAACGATTTGGTACTAGGAGAAAAGTACTTCGTGTGAACGGAGCCGAGTCGTCCAACCAAACGTTTTGGTACTAGGAGAAAAGTACTTCGTGTTAACGGAGCCGAGTCGTCCAACCAAACGATTTGGTACTAGGAGAAAAGTACTTCGTGTTAACGGAGCCGAGTCGTCCAACCAAACGATTTGGTACTAGGAGAAAAGTACTTCGTGTTAACGAAGCCGAGTCGTCCAACCAAACGTTTTGGTACTAGGAGAAAAGTACTTCCTGTTAACATAGCCGAGTCGGTGTTACAGTAACTCAATGCTTCTCTGGCACCTATACACTGTATACTGTACAATTTACGTTTAGGGCGGGGCGGGGCATTTCCTCCAGTTGTAATTATTTTCATGAATTATAACTATCGTCTTTTTTAATTTTACAAAAACTATGTACCTAGTAACTGTGATACAGATCAGTTAGAACACATTCTACACAATCATCGTCCATTAATGAGTGACGTATATCATTATAACTAGTAGTCAAAATATATACACCAAGGATACAATAAAGTCTCGAATCAACAGAAACAGCATTTCACATTCCAAATAACATTAAAAAATTCTAACGAAAACAATGTGTGACCAATTTTTTTAGGAACGTGCAAAACAAGTATTTCTGTGAATACTGAATATATCTACAGAAAAGGGCAACTAAAAAAATAATATATTAATGACATATTCCAATAGTAAACAGTCGTATATATGTCGAGATCTCAATGGATGAAGCCCCATATGATTATTTCATTGATAATCCCAGTGAAGTATGGGCTATTGTTTTTGTTATTTATGGGAGTAGGGACTCTCTCCCATAACAATCGTCTGTGTTAATTTATAGAGGACAGAACTCGCCACTTCAGCAGACTTGCATTGCTGTTTTATTGGGTGTATTTTGCGATTGTGTTTGTGAGGGTATGTATGTGAGGGTATGTATGTGAGAGTGTGTATGAGAGGTATGCATGTGAGGTATATATGTGACGTGTGTATGTGAGGTATGTATGTGAGGGTATGTATGAGAGGTATGCATGTGAGGGTATGTATGTGAGAGTGTGTATGTGACGTGTGTATGAGAGGTATGTATGTGAAGTATGTATGTAAGGTATGTATGTGAGGGTATGTATGTGACGTGTGTATGTGAGGTATGTATGAGAGGTATGCATGTGAGGTATATATGTGAGGGTATGTATGTGACGTGTGTATGTGAGGTATGTATGAGAGGGTATGTATGTGAGGGTATGTATGTGAGGTATGTATGAGAGGTATGTATGTGAGGGTATGTATGTGAGGTATGTATGTGAGGTATGTATGAGAGGGTATGTATGTGAGGTATGTATGAGAGGGTATGTATGTGAGGTATGTATGAGAGGTATGCATGTGAGGGTATGTATGTGAGGGTATGTATGTGAGGTATATATGTGAGAGTATGTATGTGACGTGTGTATGTGAGGTATGTATGTGAGGGTATGTATGAGAGGTATGCATGTGAGGGTATGTATGTGAGGGTATGTATGTGACGTGTGTATGTGAGGGTATGTAAGTGAGGGTATGTATGAGAGGTATGCATGTGAGGGTATGTATGTGACGTGTGTATGTGACGTGTGTATGTGAGGGTATGTAAGTGAGGGTATGTATGAGAGGTATGCATGTGAGGGTATGTATGTGAGGGTATGTATGTGACGTGTGTATGTGAGGGTATGTATGTGAGGGTATGTATGAGAGGTATGTATGTGAGGGTATGTATGTGACGTGTGTAAGTGAGGGTATGTATGAGAGGTATGCATGTGAGGGTATGTATGTGAGGGTATGTATGTGACGTGTGTATGTGAGGGTATGTAAGTGAGGGTATGTATGAGAGGTATGCATGTGAGGGTATGTATGTGACGTGTGTATGTGACGTGTGTATGTGAGGGTATGTATGTGAGGGTATGTATGAGAGGTATGTATGTGAGGGTATGTATGTGAGGGTGTGTATGTGAGGTATGTATGTGAGGGTATGTATGTGAGGGTATGTATGTGACGTGTGTATGTGAGGTATGTATGTGAGGTGAGTATGTGAGGGTATGTATGTGAGGGTATGTATTTTACGTGTGTATGTGAGGGTATGTATGTGAGGGTGTGTATGAGAGGTATGTATGTGAAGTATATATGTAAGGGTATGTATGTGAGGGTGTGTATGTGAGGTATGTATGTGAGGTGAGTATGTGAGGGTATGTATGTGAGGGTATGTATTTTACGTGTGTATGTGAGGTATGTA